GGCGGGGGTCGGCCGGGGGGCAGGCGGGGGAGAGCGGGGAAGGGCTGGGGACAGCCTGGGGACAGCAGGGAAGGGCTGGGGACAGTCTGGGGACAGCAGGGAAGGGCTGGGGACAGTCTGGGGACAGCAGGGAAGGGCTGGGGACAGTCTGGGGACAGGCTGGGGACAGCAGGGAAGGGCTGGGGACAGCCTGGGGACATCTGGGATGAAGAATGTGAGGGCCTGGGGACCCTGGGGACAGCGAGGACAGGGCTGGGGACAGCCTGGAGATGGCTTGGGGACATCCCAGACACATCACCGCCACCCTGGGCACATCAGGGCTGTTTCTCCTTACTTTGGGGACGCTCTGGGGACACTGGTGACACTTTGGGGACACTCAAGGCCACCCCCAACCCCTTTTTTCCTCTCTCCCAGCAAGGAATTCCCGCAGAACCTCAGCGCCGCGGCCGAGGGGCTCAAATCCATCACCCTCATCCCAGCCCTGGGTGAGCCCCAACCTCCCCGAACCCCTGGGTGACCCCAAAACGTCCCCAGAGTGTCCCCAGAGTGTCCCCAACGTGTCCCCTCAGGGCTGAACGTGCACAGCCTGCTGAAGCACCAGACCCTGGTGCTCACCCTGGACGCCGTCACCTTCCTGGAGCGGCGGCTGCTGTGGCACGACTCGCGCTACTCGCCCCTGTTCCCCTTCTCGCTGCCCTACCGGGACCTGCCGGGAGCCCCCCGAGCCGGGTGAGACCCCCCTGGGTGGGATCTGACCCCCCCTGGGTGGGGTTTGATCCCCTCAGGTGGGGTTTGACCCCCTCAGGTGGGATCTGGTCCCTCCAGGTGGGATCTGGTCCCTCCAGGTGGGATCTGGTCCCTCCAGGTGGGATCTGGTCCCTCCAGGTGGGATCTGGTCCCTCCAGGTGGGATCTGGTCCCTCCAGGTGGGATCTGGTCCCTCCAGGTGGGATCTGGTCCCTCCAGGTGGGATCTGGTCCCTCCAGGTGGGATCTGGTCCCTCCAGGTGGGATCTGGTCCCTCCAGGTGGGATCTGGTCCCTCCAGGTGGGATCTGGTCCCTCCAGGTGGGATCTGGTCCCTCCAGGTGGGATCTGGTCCCTCCAGGTGGGATCTGGTCCCTCCAGGTGGGATCTGGTCCCTCCAGGTGGGATCTGGTCCCTCCAGGTGGGATCTGGTCCCTCCAGGTGGGATCTGGTCCCTCCAGGTGGGATCTGGTCCCTCCATGGGCTGGGATCTGGTCCTGATCCTGTCAGGATTTGGGGACGTGGTGACACAGCACCCGCTCCTTGGTGTTGTGGCCCCTCTCCATGACCTGCCAGGACCTGCCGGGAGCCCCCCGAGCCGGGTGAGACCCCCCTGGGGGGGGTTTGGACACGCCAGGTGGGGTTTGATCCCCTCAGGTGGGATCTGGTCCCTCCATGGGCTGGGATCTGGTCCTGATCCTGTCAGGATTTGGGGACGTGGTGACACAGCACCCGCTCCTTGGTGTTGTGTCCCCTCTCCATGACCTGCCAGGACCTGCCGGGAGCCCCCCGAGCCGGGTGAGACCCCCCTGGGGGGGGTTTGGTCCCTCCAGGTGGGGTTTGATCCCCTCAGGTGGGATCTGGTCCCTCCATGGGGCAGGATCCAGCCCCGATCCCGTCAGGAAAGGATTTGGGGTCGGGTGTTGTGTCCCTTCTCCAGATCCTGAAGGAACTTTCTGGAACCCCCCCGGGTGGGATTTGACCCCCCCAGGTGGGATTTGACCCCCCCCAGGTGGGATCTGACCCCCCCAGGTGGGATCTGACCCCCCCAGGTGGGATTTGACCCCCCCAGGTGGGATCTGACCCCCCCAGCTGGGATTTGACCCCCCCCT